CAGCTACCCCTTGCGGAAGAGAGCCAAGAGCTACTGAGCTTTATGAGTTCGAAGAACATCGTACAGCCTACGCGTTGTACACAAGGCGCAAAAAACGCAGGTGCCAACTTTCAATCGAAAGTAGAACCGCTCTTCACTGACATCAGAGACCACATCAAGGCCTGGTTGGATGACTTTGTCTTACACTTTCAAACGGAAGAAGACCTACTCGCAACTCTGGCTAAGTTTCTCCTCATTTGTCGCGAAGCGAACCTTAAGATTTCAATTCGGAAGTCCCAGTTTTTTCTGCAACGCGTACGTTGGTGCGGACGAATCATTGACAGTACCGGAGTACAATTCGATCCGAGAAACCTAAGCGGCCTACAGGGAATTGAGCTGCCCAAATCAGCAGGGGAGTTGTGCGAGTATGTGCATTGTTTACAATGGATGTCCTACAGTATCCCGGATTTCCCGAATAGAGTTTCACCCCTGAAAGAAGTGTTGGAAGAAGCTTACATGAAGTCAGGCTCAAGAACCAAGAAGTCCATTCAGAAAATTCAGTTAACATCCTTGACATGGGGGGCTAAACACGAAGCGATCTTTCGCGAGTTTCAGGAAGAGCTAAAAAACATGCTGAAGCTCGCACATCGAGATCCAAAGAAGGCAATATGTGTGTATACAGATGCTTCCGATGCATACTGGGCCGGGGTCGTGACCCAATGTGATAGAACCGAGCTCGACAAAGACATCGAAAATCAGAAGCATGAGCCGCTCGCATTTCTCGGGTCAGCGTTCAAGGGGTCCGAAGAGTGGTGGACAACCTTTGAAAAAGAAGCATACGTGATCTATCAAGTTTTCAAGAAGTTGGACTATCTCCTTTCGACGGAAGAAGAGATACATCTGTACACAGACCATCGCAATTTGTTGTTTGTGTTTAATCCAGTTGCGCTCGATCCTACACTCGGTAGGCATGTTGTCAACAAGGTGCAACGATGGGGTTTGTATCTTTCCAAGTACTCCTACATCATAGAGCACGTCAAGGGCGAGAAGAATGTGATGCCCGACATCATGACTCGATGGTGTCGAGGGTACCGAGGCAAACGCTACTCCATCAAACGAGTGACACATCTCCTGCTCGAACAGGATGTTACTAAGTCCCCTCTGTCCGAAGAATTCATTTGGCCCGATGCAGCATGCATCAAACAATCTCAACGTGGCCATCGACACGAAGCAGATGATGAAGTGAAGAAACCTGACGGTATTTGGACAATTCGTGAGAAGACTTGGATACCAGAGAGGGACGCAGAGCTCCAGTTGAAGTTATTGGTAATTGCACACTGCGGCTCGGGCGGGCACCGAGGACGGGACACCACGCTGAGTAAAGTGAAGGAAAACTTCTGGTGGAAGATGATGGACGAAGACTGCTCCGAGTTTATCGCGTCATGCCTCCACTGCCTTACTGGCAAAACAGGACACAAAATCCCACGCCCAATTTCAACTACGATCCACGGCATGAAGCCGAACCACGTCATACATTTTGACTATTTGTACATGGGCCAAGGTATAGGCAACTTGAAGTACAACTTGATAATCAGGGATGATCTTTCTTCTTACCTCTGGATAATTCCTGCGACGAACGCCGATGCCGAAACCGCTGCAGGCGAGATTGCGAAATGGATCCGTGTTTTCACTGTCATGCTAGCATGGGTCAGCGACCAAGGTTCGCATTTCAAGAACCGAGTTATGGAAGAACTTGCAGAAGATCACCGTATAAAGCACAATTTTACAGTCGCATATTCCCCTTGGGTCAATGGCACTGTGGAAAACTGTATGAAACACATACAAGCAGCATACCGATGCCTGCAGTCAGAATTGAAATTAGGCCCGCAGGATTGGCCTCTTGTCATGGGAATGATCCAGACTGCATTGAATGAGGCACCCCTTCGTCGGCTTGGATCGAGGGAAGACGGTACATTTCGCACGCCGCTAGAAGTCATGACAGGAATCAAACCTACTCGCGCAATGTTACACACGACCCAAATTGACGAAGAGCAGCGCAAGAGGAAGAGCATCGAGAAGATTCGGGCTCTGCAATTGCTGGATGTTGAAAATTTGCAGGATGCATTTGACGGAATGCACAAAGATGTGGAGCAGCGCGTACAGGCGAATCGTGCAAAGCAAATCAAGTGGCACAATAAGAAGACGCAGTTGGTAACACCAAACTTTCTGGTAGGGGATTTTGTGCTGGTTCGAAGGGCTCAAGACAAGGGCCATAAGCAGAGTTTTCGCTGGATTGGTCCGCGCCGCATCGTGAAAGTTGTTGGCGAGTTGGTGTACGATGTCGAGAACTTGCTTTCGAAAAAGATAGAACGCGTCCATGCAGCCCGAATTATACTGTATCGCTCGGACATGGATGGAAAGGAAGTCTCTCCGGAGTTGCTCGAACATGCAGAGCACAGTGAAAGGAAATATGAATTAGTCGACGCGCTAGTCGACATTTCCGGCAACAGTAAGAATGGTATATTTGTTCAGGTGAAATGGGTTGGCTTACCAGACAAAGAGGATTGGACTTGGCAGTCTTTGGAAGAGCTACATGAGGATGTGCCTGATCAGGTTGAGGCTTTCTTGCAAAAGACGCGAAAGAATCGTGTGGCGAAACAGGCAAGGGATGTCCTCGGGCTGAACAACTGATGCCTTACCTTCAGCAAGCCATGGGGCGGTGTAGCCACTTTCGGCTTGACGTGTGGGTTGGAATGGCGACAAGGATGGCTGATAAGCATCCCCTTTAAGATAGAATTATTACGGCGTACAGAACGGTGTGATATCTGGATGTGCACACAAGTTGATCATGGAGCAGACTAGAATTTGCAGTGCTACCAAAAAGGGAAGCACTCTGTTAGCGCCTTGTAACTGGCATGAAATTGTGGTGCGACTGAGAATAGGACGCGACGGCGAAGGCTCAGTGCGACTTCTTATAAGCTCACTGAAGCCGCCGAAAGGTCGGGGAAAAAAAAAGGTCACCGGCGGTAAACCAATCTTTGCTTTGTTTCAACTTCCGTTCTTGCTTTGACGCTGTAGCGTCTAAAGCTTGCGGACTCTACCCTTCTTCCTTTGCTGGCAAACCTTTTCGTGCGAACGAAACGTTTGAAACGTTTAACACATCTATTCTTACCAATAAAGAATCTTACTACACTGTACCGTACATGTGAAATCTAAACCCAGTTCTTTAAGATAACATTCACCTGCGCGCATAAAGAAGAAGACAAAGAAGAAAACCAAAACCAAACCGCATTTTCAGATCGCTCTTTCTTCTGCCTATATGTCTGCGTGTAAACCGTACCTCTGGCGTGCTTGACCCAGAAGGCCAAGATGAACGTCCTGGAACGTGAGCAAAACGTCTGGGTGCCAGTCCGTCGCCTGCACGGCAAAAAAAAGAAACAGTGCCAGTGCGTCGTGTAAATAGGAAAGAAAGACAAACAGAAAGAACGAGAAGCGCCGAAAAAACAAGCGGTGACTCGCGTTAGCAACAGCATCTCTCTCAAGCGCTGTTGCGGTAAGTCTCGCAGGCAAGGAGGCCGCCCATTTCACATATGTTCTTTGGTGCGGTCGCCGGGACGCCAGAGCGAGACTTACCTTTCAAAAGAGAGGACTCGTATTCGTGAACCACGGCCCAAACAGAATTGAAGCCGAGGTTGAAGCAGTTGTGTCGGAGGGGTCTGTGCGGTCTGTGCGATCGGTGCGGTCGGTGCGGTCGGTGCGGTCGGTGCGGTCGGTGCGGTCGGTGCGGTCGGTGCGGTCGGTGCGGTCGGTGCGGTCGGTGCGGTCGGTGCGGTCGGTTAAGGTGAGGCGCACAGTCCGGTGCATCACATGTGTTTGTTCTGTTGATGTGATGCACAGAGGTGCATTTGTCTGAGGGTGGAAGTGAGAGTCGACATTTATCGTAGGAGAGACAGACAGTGAGTGGATGATCTGACGTGCGCATGAGCGCATGAGCGCATGAGCGCATGAGCGCATGAGCGCATGAGCGCATGAGCGCATGAGCGCATGAGCGCATGAGCGCAGGTGAGATCGTGATTCAAGCATTATTTCTGCCTGGAAGGGCCCTCGGTGCGTGTCTGCATTTGTCAGTAAGTGTGAAACGTGTTTTCAGCCGGACGTCTGGAGGCATGTTCATCGATTCCAGATTCCGGGTGTCTTCCGCTGCCGATCCCGGTTTCCAGGGTCCGAAACCCCTCGACAAATGACGTCACTGGGCGCCATACGGGACAGATCCAACCAATTAAATGCATACGATCGATTTGCATTCCGCCTCCCTGATTCCACGCATTTCGCTGGTCCCGCTACTTCCTGTCGCGGACTTCGGAACGCCACATTTTGGGCTGTGTACTACGGGGGAGGGTAAAAACGTGGGGACGTGGGGAACGTGGGGAATGTGGGGAACGTGTTAACGTGGGGACGTGGGGACGTCATCGCTACCGCCTCGGGCTGCTGTGCGGGCCGGGAAGCCGAGATGGCAGGCAGTAGGGAGCGTAGCGGGTGAGGGAGGTCTCGTGAGCAAGAGGCAGTGTGCGGGATGATGGATTTGGGGAGGGGGGACGGCAGCGGGAAGACGTTGGAAGGGCGAAAGGCTTAGTTGTAGAGTATTTGGATTGCGTAATGTGTAAAAGGAATATGTTTAGCGAGAGGAGAGAGAAAAGTGTTTGTCGCTAAGACCCGTGCGCGTTTGAACTCGATCGAAACGGAGACGAACAAGTAGATGAACATAGACAAGACGAGGTTGGTGAGGAGAGGAGGAACAATACAAATACAATACAAATACAATAAAAAGGCAATAGAAAGAAAGCAGAAAGAGAACAGAAAGAGAACAGAAAGAGAACAGAAAGAGAACAGAAAGAGAACAGAAAGAGAACAGAAAGAGAACAGAAAGAAAGCAGAAAGAGAACAGAAAGAAAGCAGAAAGAAGTAGGAAGAAAATAGGAAGAAAGTAGGAAGAAAGTAGGAAGAAAGTAGGAAGAAAGTAAAAAAAGAAAGTAACTAAGTAACTAGGTAAGCTACGAATTTTGCCCGGGCCAACTTGGTTGGGTGCCCAAGTGGCTCAACCAACTTGGGCACGCAACCAAGTTGGGCACCGGGCGGGAATCGAACCCAGGGCCTCGCAGGCGCAGAGTGTCAACTGCACCACCAGCAACCGCTTGTCCATTCTGCCAAAGTAAACAGGGATCTGCCTACGGGTAACAAGTCAGTGTATCAAAGTATCAATCGGTCGTATCCATCGTTTTTCTTTTTACTCGGGCTCGCCAATCTGGAGGTACTTATAGGGACATATAGCGGTGGATATAGGGGACATATAAAGGATAACAGGTACTAACAAAGGCTAAGCTTGAGTCAGCTTGAGTCAGCTTGACTCACAAGGAGGTAACAGGAATCACACATCAATTAATCAATATATCATATTGATACTCCCCCGGGTTTGTGGTTCGACCACATCTCGTCATTGGATTCATCCGGTGAACTGTTCAGAAGAACGGCTTTCTACAGTTGAGAAGTGGATAGGTATTTCGCCGGCGAACATCAACAACTGTAGTGGCTGGGAGAGGGGGCTGTCAGGCTTGGTGAGCGGATCTGCAAGGTTGACGCTGCCAGGTATCCACAGCATGCGATTCACGTTGTGAGTTTCAAACTCATAACGTATGACACTTACATCGGCACGAATAGAACGATCGGTTGCATTGCGGCATGTCGACAGGGTCGTGAACAGGTCTTTCGAGTCAACGGCTACAACGTGTTGCACAGACACACAAAGCAGGTTCTGGTAGGCTTTGACGAGAAGCTTACCTTGGTCAATGCCAGCTCCAGCAGCTAATATCTCCGCCGACCCAATACTCTTAACGGGCCTCTTCGATTTGTGCGAATTCCATGAAAGGAGGTGGAACACAGCATGTTGTCCTAGGTTGCCAATTAGTAGGCCAGAGATGTAACCCAGTTGACCATGGTCAACCGATCTGCTGGCGTCCGTAAACACAACAATCGACAGCTTGTAAGCTAGCTTTTCAGTGGGTCTCTTAAATCTAATTGAACTTCCCAACTTCTTCAGGCCGCGAAGCATGTTGATCTGAGTTATCAAGTCACGGACAATCGGTTTTGGCCCTTTTTGCTGTAGATAACTGGAGACGTGGGCACAAAACGGAGATGAGGCAATGCCCATCCATCCAATAGAACTGTTGAGTGAACGGAACGAAGCTGCCTCAATTTCATTGAGCGGTTCGTCTATCTCCTTGCGACGATTTCGGGAGATGGGGAACGGTTCAAATGCAGAAAGCTTGTCGTCGGAATGTATCGTTACACTGCAATCTTCGTCTTGTTCTATCGTCAAGCCAAAGAACAGGAAAATACCAGGGCCAAACACGATCGTGCCCAGGTTGTACGACTTGGAAATATTGTCCACAATAGATTGCACTCGGTCGAGGGGACCAGCAAACAGAATGTCGTCCACTACTTTAACAGCGAGGACCTCAAGCGTATCATTTTTCTTGATAAAGAAGAGTTGAGGGATATACACAAGCTGTTGGAATCCAAGGGTGAACAAGTAGTCATCACTGTGCTCTTGCCATTTGGCATTTGCATTGACTAGTCCATAAGCAGCAGTGAGAAGTAGCCAATAGCAGCTGCGGTCAGGGTTTTCACGAGGCGGTATCACAAACACTTCGCGTTGTGCCTTTCCAGTCTGCAGGAAAGCACTCTTGAAGTCAACTTTTGCTAAAGGCCATTTGAACATCGAAGCAAGCGACAGAAGTATACGCAAACCAACGGGTGGGCATGTGGAAGAATCAGTCTTGAGGGTGTCTTTGTCACGATCTTTCTTTCCATGGGGGGCAATTCGTGCTTTCATAATTTGTGATCCGTCATCACATGCTTTGACCTTGTACAAGACATGGCTTGTCATTATGTTGGCACCATTAGGTACATCATCAATTGGGACGCATTGAACTGTTTTCTTGAATACGTCCTCTTCTTTGACGTACGCATTTTCTGTGACATAAGAGGGAAGGCCTTGGGGTTGAAACAGCATGAAGTCCTTGCCACCAAATGTCTCATAATACTCATGTACGGCTGCCTTTTCGGTACTCTGAAGATCCTGACCTGGGGTAAGCTGTATCTGGCTGCTATTCAGCGCCGAGTCTGGAGTGTCACGGAAGCGCCAAGTTTCGTCGTCGAGATTCAGGGTTTCCTTTTCTCCATCATCGTAGCTGATGTCGTACTTGCCTCCATCTAAGCCAGAGACAGTACCGGGATAAAACTCCTTATCAACCGGCCAATAAACATATACAGCATCACCGACACTGGGAAGACCTGTTGAGGGGCTTGTTTCAGCTGTAACTTGAGCTGCGACATTGGCTTCAGCGCTCATATCAAAGTCGCCCATGTCATCTTCAGGTGTATCATCGGAGGGGGTACAATAATCATTTGAGCTAGCAGCCTTGGGCTGCGATAAATGGTCATCAATCGCCAATCCAACACTGCGGTCAAGTGTATCAATCGCGTCTCGGAAAGACTCAGCTAAAGCATTGTCCGTAACTGCAACACGAACATCCTCAACAGCAGCCTTCATCTGACGCCCACTAGAACCAGAGACAGTAATGGTGCGTGCAGCATGATCATACCCCAAAACGGGCTTGGGTGATGACCACTGTCCTCGCTTCTGGTGAGGAAGCTTCACAAAGACTTGCACTAAATCTCCAGGGGATATTGACTGTTCCGGTACAGAATTAGATCGTAGTATGAGCGTGAACTTTCTCTTAGCAACAATTAAATCATGAGCAGTCTGTAAGTCAACAGGAACCACTGTCGGACAGCCTGACACAAGCGGACGAGTGTATCCCTTCGCCAACTCATGTGCTGACATTACGTCGTTTCCGTAGAGATCATTTGAGATTCTTATCGACTGCTGTACAAGCACACTGGTATCCAGTGAGCTATCAAGTGCTCGAGCAGCCGAGAGAAGTCTTAAGAACACGTCGCGAATGATCCTGTGCGTTGATTCCAAGACGTTCTTGTTGTGACGGCGGGGAGGAATCGGGCGAGCCTCAATTCCAGGCATGTCTAGGTAGCTTCGAAACATTCTGTTCTCAAAAGCTTGATCATACAAAAGAACCTCAGGAGTCCAAAACTGGGAAATCCACTGTGATTCAAAGGCAGATATGGATTGTACCATAGATGTATCAGGCACAACTATACCAGCAGAGTATCTAGTAGCAGAGTCCATAATGTGGAACACACGCATATCATCAAGATGGAAATGGTCAATGCACACAACTTGATTGAAGGATCTTGTCATAGCGCTCAAGGAAACTTTTCTGGCTTGTTTAGGTTCAGAGGTAGCCTTGCAATCCACACAGCGCTCAATGACTCGTGTCAAGTACTGCTGCACCTCATGGCTCCACAGCGCATTACGCTGGAGTAGAACCTTGATGTCTCCATAGGACGAGTGCCCGCACACGTGTTTGTGCACCTTGTCCACGATAGGTTTGATCTCGCTCCATGGGCGGTCTGTTGTCATAGGTTCGATTTGTGCAGTAGCACAGAACATCGTAGAACTGGCAGTATCTGTCATGTTAGATGGCAACAGGAACAATTTCCACGGCAGGTAGCTATGTAGGTCAACGTTGCATAAAGATATTTTTCCATGATTGGACGGAAGCTGTAGAGCGTTTTCTCCGATGTGAAGAATGTTACAATGCTTGGTAACATTTCTGCCGACAACCCACTGGGAAGAACCAGCAATAACTAAGTGCCGGATCTCAATTGGATTTCCTTCGTCCGATATAGCAGTCAAAGTCACAGAACCAATAATTGCGCGTGTTTCACTTGAATGTTCTCCAGTCCCGTACTGCCAGTAAGGTCTAGATGCAATACGGTCAGGGAGAGGATCAAAAACTCCAGACCAATCAGGGAAGACAAGAGGTTGAATCAGGTGAAACTCCTCTACACCTAACCCACTGTACGGTGCACCGTCATCGACCAACGGGCCAATTGATTCGGGTGTCGTCTCAGAGCCTCCACGCAGCTTCACCATGTTAAATGTAACAGCTTTTCTTCGGGTATTTGTTCCACTGGAGTTACTAGTCGAGTTGTTGGTAGTCATATCAGGTGCTCGAGAGCTGACACCTGGCTTCAGTGATCCGTCGCGCAAGTGATCACCCGCCCAGTGACCAACCTGACGGCAGCTTCTACACGTGCATTTTGACTTCAGGTCAGCTAATTCATCTGGTGAAAGGCGGCGTCGCGGTCTTGTGTATCGCTGGGGACGAGACACGGAACTTGCCTGAATAGGTAAAATCGGGGAGCTATTTGCAATAGGGGTATCACGTGGCCTGTCACATTGGCGCAGAACTTATGAAATCGAGCTGTACGAGACAGCACTCAAGAACTGGGTCGTAGTAGCATTCGGTCCAAACGTAGCATCACGAGGGGCAGACGCAGCTAGAACAGAGATGCGCTGTCCTCCATCAACGTTAGAATTAGCAAGTAGCATGAATGCCGTGAGGCACTCGGGTAGCTTCGTTTCACCTGAATGGGCATTGAACTTGGATACCAGGGCTTCAAATTGAGACTCGAAATTCTTAAAGGATTCGGAGTTTCCTCGCCTAGCACCTAGGAGTGATATGAAGTCTTGGTATACTTCACTCATAACTGCCAGGGGATCACGCTTGTATAGAGCTTGGACAATCGCTTCTACAACAGCGCCTGACTGTATCGTAGTATCGGGTATCATTTTGCACAGATCGCGTGCACGGCCGTATAACTGGCTCTGCAACATTAAAACTTGTAACTCAGTTGGTATTTTGCTGCTGTTTCCGTCAGGGAGCTTGCTGTGAAGCGCACCCCACAGTTTGACAGAATTCACGTAGTCCTCTTGGTTGCCCTTTCCGTCAGTCCAAGGGACATTCTTAATATCCCAGGAAAATCGCGGACGGGACGGTAAACCTCGAGCACTGCTCGACGTCCCATCTGGGCCCATAAAAAAGTAAACAGGGATCTGCCTACGGGTAACAAGTCAGTGTATCAAAGTATCAATCGGTCGAATCCATCGTTTTTCTTTTTACTCGGGCTCGCCAATCTGGAGGTACTTATAGGGACATATAGCGGTGGATATAGGGGACATATAAAGGATAACAGGTACTAACAAAGGCTAAGCTTGAG